TTTTTTTTTTGCATTACACCGTTTGGCGATAGCAATACTTTTTTATCCGCTTTAAGAGTGTTCTGAAAATGGCAAAAATAGGCTGATTTTTTTTTTGTAAATTTAAAGTCGTGAAATACTTATTTCCCTTGCGTATACTATGCATACATAGGTATGTACATATGTACCTTCAAACGAACTGATCAAAAAAAAATACTTCATCAATGATTCATAATGATTAAGTGGTCAACTCTTGTTTTCCTTTGGTTAAAATTTCACCAGTGAAGCGGGGAAACACTTTCTAGCAGCCAATGAATAAATGGGGGGAAAAATACAAAATTACTTTTTGGTAGAATGCGCGCAGTTGAAATAAAAAGTGACTGCTGCTATTCACAATATTGGAACTGACTTTCACTTTGGCTGCGAGTGAACCGCGTAATTTCCCTTTACCACCTATGTATACATATACGTTCACCTCTTTAAATGAGTGTATATGTAAGTATGTATGTTTATGTACGCGTTTAGGCACTAATTTATTTATCATTTTAACAATTGGGTTTATTTTCATTTCCTCCGAGTCATTCAAAATAATTTTCTGTTTTTTTTTTTTTTACTTATTTTACTTATTTCGCTACACAGATATTTCCAGACAGCGCAATTGATGTTCAATGGTTTTCTGAAATCTCAAGGTTATCCCAAGAGTACCTTCTTCGATCCTAGTCGCGCCAGCGAGACCATATCCAATTTGTTCGATCATGTGGCCAAGCATCATCTGAATGTAAAGATCGACTCGCGCCAATATGTCAAACCGGCTGTGGGCTATGCCAAAGAATTGCTGAAATTGGGTCAAGCGCGAGGTCTACTGCAGTTCAATGCTACCGAACTGAGTGACAAACTAACAGATACACTCAATTTGGAGGTGAGTAGAAGAGTGAGCGGAGTTACTGTGTTTCTGAAGTATTGTTTTTGTTATTGTGGATGAAGGAGAAATCTTCTCTAAAAAATTACTAAAACGAGCTTGGCGGAAATGAGCAAAAAATGCTGCTTTGAAGGTGAAAATGATATAGATGAAAAAAAAAAACCGTAAACGTTATTATAAAAGCAGTAAAAGTAAAAATAATAATAGCGTAGCATATCAGCGCTCAATTTAACGCTTTTAGGTAACTTTTTTTTATACATATAATTAAAATGCTGAATTTTAGTGTGTTTCGCATCTAAACAACCGTTGTGCATGTGCGGTGTATTTAACATCTACAGTGACTGGCAAAAATATGTTTGCATTCGTTTTTTCATGTTTTTCATGGTAAATTTTTTTCCGAGTTATTGCACAAAATTAAGGTGAGTTCAGCGAAATTGCTTCAAAATTTCAAGCTTTTTAATAAGAATTTTTAAAATAAATTCGACTACGCACTTTTATAGTACATTCAATTTTAGTAAAGTGCACGTCTGCTGAAGTTATAAAAAAACGCGTTGATTATTATTATTTTTTTTGCTGACATTGTTGTGTATTTTCTTCCATACAAGAAAATTTTCATATTATGATTAAAATGTTTGGAATTTTGTTGAAAATTCGCTGAAGTTAATTTAATTTTGTGCAAAGTGATTCTAAGTTTGAATTTGTGATTTACAATTACAAAATTAACGAAAAAAATTTACTATGAAAAATATTTTGAAAATCATAAAAAAAATCAATGCCAAAATACTTTTGCAAGGTACTGATTATGGTCAAGTCCCCGGAACCATGTGCTTTTGTGTCATTCACCTTAAAATAAATTTTAATGTAATTTGAAATTTTGTAAAAAAACCTGGGAAATTTTGATAACAAATCACAGTGGTCTTGAAACAATGATAGGTATGACTAAAATGCCAACCA